CTACCTGTGAGACACTACCTTTCCGATAGAAAAAGGATTACCGAAATCGGTTGACTTGGTCCAAAGTTATTAGGTAACATACAAAAAAAAGAAGATATTCCGACGAATTGATAACCTTCTCCGTTGCCCCTGACGGCATTCGAACTCGAACCTGCTGAAAGCCAACTCATACATAATACCCATATGTTGATAATATTTTTCTTGCCTAATATGATTTTTTAAATAGGTGGCAACTCTCCTATAGTTTAGCTAAAAATCGGAGCTTTTCAAATCCATTTCAGTTGATACCCATTTTGTAATAATTGATTTTTTTTTATTAACTTTAATATAATTTTTTAAAAGGTGGCAACTCTTTTTAAAAAAGTTTTTACTTTTTGCACATATAGTCCAAGCCTTTTAATTCAACACCTCATTTTGGAAAATCGAACGAACGGTGCGGGTGTGATGGCATTGATTTTTAAATAATTTGAATTTAATTGTTCAACTGGTAGCAACTCTTTTCCAAAAAGAAAAAACAGTTTGCACATCTACAGGCCAAGCGCTTTAATTTGACATCCCATTTTTGAAAATCGAGCGAATGGTGCAAATCTTTTATTCTGATTCAATAGCTGAGTACTCTGTACTGGACACACCGGTTATTAAAATGTTAATACTAACACATTTTCCAAGTATAATTTTTATTGCTTTTCGCACACTTTTCTGTCATTAACGTTTTGAAACAGACAAGTTAATTCATATTTTATCTATTTAACATTTATTGCTGCAGTCGGAAATTTATGTCGTTATAGTTAAGAAAACCAGACTTTATCTTTAAGCTAAACTTGCCCAGACATTGCAATTGTAATGAAATAACTATTTTATTGCCGTCAACTGGCTGCTCACGCATTCAATTTACTATAGTTATCTACTGTTGATAAAGTAAGTGGTTTAATTTGAAGCAAATATGTCACGTTATGCATAAATTACTACTTTTTTAGCTGTTTTACTACAAAAAAAAAAAACCCCCACCACAGAGAAAAAATAACACTGCCAAGCTTTTGACGGGTTGCGGCTTAGGCACTGGAGTTCACACTTTCTGACTTCCGGACGAGCTCACTCACTCATGGCAACTCTAGAATGTTCTGACATCTATCGCACATTCTCTCATTCATGTTCTGATATTCTACGTCTTTCGTCAAACATTCTGCCATTTTCTTATTATTCGCTTCGCGTTGCCGCAATATTCGCCACACTGCCCTCAACCTAAGTCTGATCGCCCCGATCAGACACGCTTGCAGTTCCAAACGCTACAAGTCTTTCCAAGTGGTCTACCTTTACTAAAGTGGACCAGCAACACTTCTTCAAAACCCTCGGAATTCATCGCCTTATCATACTTGGCTTTCATCCTTCCACTCATAATCTGCGTACGTTGTCTCACAAGAGCATGTATCTCTCTCAGTTCTTCCTCCAGGATGTTGATCGTTGCCCCTTACTCCAAACTTCAGGTTACTAGGCAAACGAAGCTCACTGCCGAAGATTACATTTGCAGGAGTTTTAACCGTTGTTTTAAGCATTGGATACCATCAAGAACAAGGGTATACGGGCATCCCAATCTTTTTGATACTTGTCCACGAATTTCCACAAATGTTCTTCCAGGGTTCGGCTGAACTGTTCCACCATGCCATCTGATTGCGGATGAAGAGCCGTTGTTCGAGTTTTCCGGATACCCAGTCTCTTGCTCTATAGGTTCACCTATCTCGCAACCCAATTATAGTTGAATACCTCCGATGCTGTTTTAGCTTCCTGCTTTGGAATCAGGTATACCTCCGGTTATTTGCTAAATTAGTCTATAACTACAAGGACGTATTTGTTTCCCAGTTTGCTCATAGGAAATGGACCGGCTATATCCATGGCAATCCGCTTGAATCGTGCACCTGCGTTATATTGCTTCATCTCGCCATAACTTCTGGGTTTCGACCTTTTATCTGTAGTGCACTCCTCGCGGTTAGCAATCCACTCTGCGGCCGACTGCCGACAACCAACCCAATAGAACCTCTGCTTGATCTTATCCAAGGTCTTCGAGATTCCCAGGTGCCCTTCACTGAGACCATTGTGGAATTCCTTGGGAACGCCCGGAACTCTTAACCTCGAAACATCTAGTAAAATTTCGGGAGCACTGGGCATCCTCACTTTCCCATACCCTATGAAAACAGCCAGATATCAACATCAAGCTATTCCATTGTGCCCAGTATGCCTCTGTGATTAGGCTCTCCGCTGCCATTTGCGCCTTTGTTTGCCATCTGTCCGTCTCCAGCCCATGCATCCAAAGCTCCAAGTCTGGATCTTCCTGCGGAAAACTTTCGTAGCTGGTGTTCCTTCTACTCTTCTGCTGGAGTTATCGTCGTTAGCCGGGCGTCAATACTGTTTTTTTTAGCCTCATCTTTTAAGCAGTGTGTACAATTCAGGCTACATGGTCGACGGGACATGGCATTAGCATTTCCGTGGACACTTCCCTTCCGGTGCTCAATAGCGAAGTCATAACTTTGCAATCCACCGAGATAGCTGTCGTTCTACTTACCTCCACTTAACAATAAACGCTCTTAAGGTCGAGTGTTGAGAACCACTTTGTTCCAATCAACGAGAGTATCTTCGATCCCGGGACTCGCTCATGGTTCAATCACACCACTTCCGCCCATTTCTTTTATGATCTGGCTTACAGCGTCCCGTTTGGAAAGTGGAATACTTCGAAGAGCTTGACGGATCGGCCTTGCGTCTTAGGCAGGGTTTTGCCAATAAGTACTTCCGGTGTAGAATTTTGTATTGCTCCAACAGCCCACAATTTGTTTGTCCCACAATCTCCATCAATATTCGCCCAAAACAATTGCTTCTGACTTTGGTGGAATCTGTTCGCTTTCCTCTAGGATCACTCGCTTGCTGCTGTACGGGCTATCATATCGAAAGCTTAGTTGCACTTCCATGTTGTTATACGTCATGATCCTGATCTTCATGTCGATCTGCATACCTTGATAAAATTAAAAGTCTACTCCAATGATATCTTCATTCACAACCTCCGCGACTATGAACTTGTGTATCTCCGTCACATACCCCACTGCGACTTTGCATGTTACTTCTCCTACAACGCGCGCCCCTTGCTACTGACTCATTTTAGTTTAACGACTGATTGCAGTAGGGTTCGTCTTCTTCTTCCCATCAATTCATCATAATTGTCTCTTTCACTCTGGGTAACAGTTTGCAAGATTTCCGCTGCATGTCCTTTTAACGCAACAAACAGCGCAGCGGACTTATCCTCCATGCTCCATTTGTTTGCTGTAGCTATTTTTTAGAACTGGAGCTTAAAGACTTGGAAAGGGATCGTGCCGTCAAAGGACGGAGTTTTTACCTTGGGAGCGTACGTAGAAGTAGCTGGACGATTCAACTGTAGAAGACGACCTTCCAACTCGTCCACTTGTACCTCAAATTTATTCTGTCTCTCTTCAATTTTATCCTGTTTCTCCTCAATTATCTGTGGTCTCTCCTTAAGTAACGCATTATTCTTGGCCAAGTTCTGCTGGAGTAGCGTGATGCGTGTATCCTTCCAGCTGTGATGACAACTGCGCCGAAATCTGTGAGAACATTTCCGACTTATGATTGAAACACAATACCGGCGAACGGCAAACTTCGCCGAATTGGGCGATGCTGTCGTTCACCGTTCGCTCAGCTTTTTCGCCTTCTTAAACAGAATTAGAGCGGTAGCGAAAACAGCTGATACAATTTGGTCGCCTTTATAGTTTGGGTGGCCATCTTTAGAAAAAACTAAACCATATTTAGAAATGAGGAAATGATAACAAATATAAATGTAAAACAAAGAGAAATTATAAATTATTTTATTTTAAGCCAGATTTTAAAAATCCACAACTCTATTTTTCAAAAACAAGAATAATTCGTGTTTATGTTGTTTTCTTCTAAAACTTTGAAAGAAAAGAGAAATAGACCACCTTTTAAGCGAAGCGCACATTGGCGCGATTCTGTCGTTGCGAATCCGCAAGCCCAAAAATTACCCATACATTTTAATGCGCTAGCGCACACTTGCACGATTCCGTCGCTGCGAATTTTTCGAACATTCAATGTTCCACTCTATTGACGCGTTCGAAACGCGGCTTGCAGCGTTTTGAAGGCGTCAAAGAAGAAGAAGAAAGGTGTCACAGCAATAAAGGCAAAGAAAAAAAAACGTGTAATGTACAAAAACTAATAAAAACGTTCGTAATAATAGTATTTTGTACGATTTGGGCACGCCGAGTGCGAAAATACACGAAATAAAGGGAAAATTGAGTGAATTGTACATCGGAAATCGACGCGAAAAAATCGCTCAAGTGTGCGCACGTTTGCGGATTCGAAGTTAACAGCCGAATTCGCAACGTATTCGCAACGATNTAAAACTGCCGTCGCGCAACAGGGCGAAATAAATAAATCAATTGCCATGAATCGCTGCCAAGCGAACTTCACATTTCGCTGTTGGCTGTATTCGATTTCATATGCTTGCGGGTGTTCTAATTCTGACAGCGCGAATTTCGCTTTGGTGAGTTCGCCGTTTGCCGGCGTTGTGTTTCAGCTATTATGCGAAGAAATTGCAGACAATATCATGCTCCATACTCGTAGATGAACTAGGAGCCTTTTCTTCAATCTGTCTAGATATCTACTGGACATCCTTGTGAATGTTACACGATAAATATCGAAATCGGCAAAAAGTAGCGGTTTGCGGAAGCGTCACCTTCTCTTCGCAACCTCGTGAATTAATGCGGCAGCGGCAGCACTGATCAAAACTGAATACTTCTTTGCGAGATAACCGCATCTTTTCACTGTTAATACCAAGTAGCAAATGCAACATTGGGCGCGGATCACCGGTAAATAATGCCCACAACAACAAATGCTTACAACAATTCCCCTTAATGTTTTGACAATTTGCTTCCTTCATTTCAACGAATTTTTTTTATACAATTGCCTGCTGTTTAATTGGGAGAACTGTGGAAAACTCGAAAAAAATAACAAAAAATTGCTACAATATGCGCATCTAATTAATCAAAGTGCCACCACACTAAAAAATCTACCTAGCATATACATAGAAGCAATCGCCAACAGCTGGTTAAATGCCGCATACTGCCTCCAAGCTTTGAACAAATTTTCCAAAACATTGAAGACAAAACTTTACTCCATTTTAAAACAAACCATTGCTTAAATTATTTAAACATCGGATTATATATTAATTAGGCAACAAAATGTCTTCCGGTTTAAAGTGTCGCAATTGTGGTTCAACCGATATCGAAGAGGACAATGCACGTGGCGATGCCGTCTGTACGAACTGCGGTTCCGTCCTAGAAGATTCATTGATCGTTTCGGAAATACAGTTCGAAGAAGTTGGACGTGGTGCAGCGGCAATCGGGCAATTTGTGTCCGCTGAGTCTACTGGAGGTGCCACGAATTATGGCTATGGCAAATTTCAAGTAGGTTCCGGTACGGAGTCGCGTGAAGTTACAATCAAAAAAGCCAAAAAGGAAATCACACATTTGTGTCAGCAATTGCAATTAACGCAGCATTACATTGATACAGCATTGAATTTCTTCAAAATGGCATTGGCACGTCACTTGACGCGTGGCCGCAAGAGTACCCATATTTATGCCGCTTGTGTGTATATCACTTGCCGTACGGAGGGCACATCACGTAAGTGAATTAAGTGTAAGGTATTTAAAAAAATGATTATGAATGAACATGTTTCTTTTTCTAAATATAGATCTGCTCATTGACATCAGCGATGTCCAACAAATCTGCTCATACGAATTGGGTCGTACTTATTTAAAGCTATCAAATGCCTTGTGCATTAACATTCCCTCTGTCGGTGAGTGAATAGAACATTATTATTGTCTTCAATAATTGTATTATAAAATTTATTTTTTGCAAATCACCTATGCATATACAATGTACATTGTACATATACAATTCATGCTTCAGGTAATTATTAGGAGTACTTTAAAATGCACGAGATTCAGTTTTTGAAAACCTTCCAAAAACCCATAAGTTCCGATGCAGACCTGTCTAATTAGTATCGATAAGAGTCTTGATGGAATTCTTTTTAGTTCAAATGCAAAGTGGGCTTTACGTTTTCACTGCCCTGCTACTAAGCCTGCATACAATTTCACATCAAAAGCAGTTGTTTATTCTTCTGAACCTTTTTGCTGCAAATTTTTATAGTATTCTGGTATATGTAGTTGATGTAGCGGTCCTGATGTAGGTTTCCTTCCTCAATCGTTGTCGCCAAGCTCAATAAACTGAATGCCCTGGAAGCATGCATACCAAAGGTAGAGAGGTGGTATTGAGTTGGAGGTTCCCCGGCATGTGAAGAGTTGTTTGGTATACATATGTTATAGTCCCTACTGTTGGGCTTTTAAAGTATGCCGAAACTGCTTGAAATTTTTATTCTCTTTTTACAATTCCGGGCATGTGATTTATGTCCATCTCCATTCCATTATCAGCGACTATCAGATTTCAAAATATGTGGAAGTACGACGATAGCTTATTGGTTGGTGTAGTGGAGGATGGCTTCACAAGCGGTATATACGCGAATCTCTCGAGGCAGCTGAAGTTCTTCGTCTGATTTGTGTATTTGCGAGACTGTAGAGATGATGCTTGTCTATCGGACACATACTTTCAATGTGTTGTCTGCTCGTAGAGGTGTTTTTAGCATCAAGATTCATAGGCATTCACAGACTTTGGTTTTCCCGAAGATTACATGAAGTTCTTCGCTGATGAGGTCGTGCAGGCTTCTGGTCACGTGAATTTCCGCCTTATGCTCCTCCAAAGTATATACATATATATTGTGACATGTCGGCTAAAAGACGATTTGGGGAGTGTTGCTGGAGTGACAGTCCTTGGCCAGATATAAATACGGGTCGTTCCGGTTACGTAGACCCGACTGTCGTGGGAACGATTTCCACCCTTTTGTCGGGCTTGGCAGGTTTGTTAACCAATCTTTACTTACACCAGGTTTAAGTTGCAGGTATTCAAGTGCTGGACCCCTTTTTTCGCTAATTCAGTTAGTCGATTCTCGAAGCTGGGATCACTGATATGGCTATCCCCGGGATCGGCTCGGCGTAGATTACTACTCTCACTTGCTAGTATAGCAACCTCAGCCAGAGCATTAGGACCGAGTTCAACGAGTCTACGGATAATTATGAAGCGTGCTCCCGCTGCAGTTGGTAGGAGGAGACTGGTACATTCATTATTGTAGCTAACATACCCACCCATAACACCCTCGATTTAACTTTAGTCAAAATCCAGCTTTAACTCCATTTCCATATTATTGAAATTATATACATCTTATATTTTTTAATCAAACTGGTCTCTTTAACCCCCGAATAAGAAAGTCTTCTCAAAAGTAGTTCAAAAAACCAAGATCTTTATTATATAAATACAAAGCTTCAAGAGATAATATAAAAAGAACACCTTTAAATAGAATTTGATAGCAAAAAGCATAACTTATATTAAAATAAATTGCAGAAAAAGGCACCTAAGTATTGCCTTTGATGTAGGCGAATGCCAGTTCTAATCCAACATTTGTGCATTATTTGAGTTTTTGCATTAACTCCTTGCTGGCCATTTAAATTTAAATCTCAAACGCAACACAAACACTTGTACCTAAAAACTAAAAACAAAGCAATGCAAAAACTGTCTGTAAAAAATAATCCAGCGTAAATGCAAGGTGTTAAATGACGAAAATGCAATTCATTTCCATTGATAGCAGACCTTTAAAGAACATTAAATATTCCAATATCGATACAGTGATTATATTATATTTATATACGTGTCAAATAGACGTAAGACAAACGCTAAAATGCTACGAGATTGCTAATTGTTGATTCGACTATGTGTGGCATTTGTATTTGCATTAATAATGAAACGCTTAATGGCTTGCAAACTAAACTCATACTATATTAATGTCTTTTCGCAAAATGTTCAAATATTTTTTAATGTTTTCAAGTACGAAGTATGCATATGAATACTTCTCTTCCTGTCGAGTATATGAAAAAACTACTGAAAAAAGTACTAACATGCTTTGTAATGTGTTTATTTATATAGTTGTATATGTGTCAATATGCATTCAAACCTTTTAATATTTCTCACCCTACTAATTTCTTATTTGGCCTGAATGTTGTTCAGGATTTAATAAATACTAGATAAATACGTAACTTTGTAGTAAATTTCTTTCTTTTCTCGATCATGTCAAATGTATGAATGTACATATGTAAGTAGGTATGTAATTTGCAATTGCTTGTTCGTTTACTATGTTCCGCAGGTTATTGTATTAATTTCAATCCAAAATACTACATTCTACAAGTCTTTGTAAGTGTGTTTTAGTGTTTTTTAATATGCCTTTAGAATCTGTTTTACCAAATTTGATTGCCTTTTTGTGTTTTTACTCCTCATTCCGAATTTCATTCAATTATGTTGTCTGAATGTTAATCAGCTTACGTCATTCATTTGATTTTAACTTAAACGTAAAGTAAGTGTTTATACATGCTTTGATTTGTTTAATGTACATATTTGTAAATATTGCCTGTATTTATTTATTTGGTTGTCCATTCGCTGACTTCTTTCTAAGAACTACATATTAATCCATTTCAGTTTTAACACTAAATTTCACATTGAAAAACCATAGGTTGCAATTATTTGTTCTCCTCAAGCTTCTCATAAGAGTTCCAATTCATCGTCCTTGCAATACTCCACTATTTCTCATGCGCTCAGTGCACCACTGCCGCTGCCACCAACTTCGCTGCTGCCACTACCCAATAAGTCATCACAATTTACGTGTAAACCGCCGCCATTCGATACGCCACCACTGCCGCTACTGCCAGCACCAATTGGTGTAGCACACAGCGAATTAGTAGGTGAATTTAAACCAGTAACAATTGTCGGCCCATAGAATATCAGTTCAGGTATTTGACCACCCTGCACTCCAGTGCCGTTTGTGCTCTCCGATGAGCATTGGAACTGGAATGTTACATTGCCCATGCACACTTCGGACATGCCCTCCTGACCGAAAAAGCTCAACTCATTGCCATCAAGTATCACGGAGGCGGTGTAGTAGCACTCTGGTTCAATCTGTATGGGATTCTCAAAGAACACATGGAATGTGTTGCTTGAGCCATCAGAGAAGAATTTCGTGTCATTTTCGGCGAGGGTGCGTCCGAGGCGTTTTAATTCGATTTTTACATTATAATTAGCAGCACCGGTTGAGGAACCATACAGACCGAAACCAACAATAAAAATTCTAAATAAAAATGTGCATAAATAAGCTGTGATTTAACTCCGATAGCAATATGTACATACCTGCGATCCACTGAAAACTGTATTGAATCACAACGCCCGCGATAACGCCATTGGTTCGAGCGATAAGCGCATGACTGAAAACGGTGACAAACTTGTGTTTTCAGACCGGCACGTGCACGTGTAGGGAAACTTAAATGCGGTTTAGATTGTGCGGTAAAATGCAAAAATATATCAATAGTCTCTTGTGATGTGAGTATACCCGTTTGGGCGACGCCATTTGCAAACTCCTCCAAAGTCATGGTTGGTATGCGTATTAAATGCAATGCTTGTCCCAACATGTTTCGTTTATTCTGTGGTGTGACATCAATGCCCATTTTCTGACAAGCATTCAGAGCCCAATTGAGCGCTGCCTCAAAGAGATGGATCTCCTTGCAGTTTAGCGTCTCACGCGACAATATCGATTCGAACGTTTTTAGGTCGATGTCGACAAAGTCTTCCGATTTAATTGCCATTTCGGCCTGTATAAAAATAAAATGTATGTTAAACACGGCTCAAAAAACTAACTTATTCACATAGATAAAACAAAATCAGCATATTTAATGTGTTAACTCACTTGTGCATCGATTACTTCCCAGCATCGCTGCATCAACTCGGGCTCTTCGAATAGACGCGATTGACTGAGAAGTAGACAGGCGTTTTTTGCCGTCAATTTGACTTCTAAATAATTGACGCATGCGCGTGCTAAATGTGGCACAATATATTTTTTGGCCGCATATAACGTAGCCAAAATGTTATCAGGTTCCAATTGAATCTCATCACAATATAGGTATCTAGTTAAAAACAACAACGAATATTTTTTTTAGTAACGAAACACTTTTCGATCTTATATTTCTACAATGCCCAACCTTAACAGCGTTAAAAACGCAGATGGCTCCACATCAGGCACTTTAATTTCCTGTTTGTTTTCGGCCAACCCACCATAAAACATAGCGTAGAACACCGAACTGCCCGTAGCCAGGATATACTTGTGCGCCGGTATAGTTTGTACGCAATCTGCTAATATAAAAATTTTAAAAGCACATATAAACTTCTGAGACATACAAATGTATGCATAATATATATATTTGATTAATAGCAACATACCAAATTCCCCTCCAACAACAAATTTTACATCCGACATTAGCTCATTGTTGAACATAGCAGCATTCCGTTCGAGCACCGTCGCTTTTGTGGCCTGCCAGTTCGGATCAGCCGTATCGACCGCATTCGCAGTTGAATTGTTTGACTGGTTAGCTGCTCCAGCATTACATACATACGAACCACTGCCACTACCACCGCCGCTGCTACTGGTGCTACCGCCAGCTGTACCACCCGACGAACTTGACGGCAAGCAGAAGAGCGCCGAACTACTAATAGCACCCGGCGATGCAAGTGGCGACGAGGGTGCGCTGATAGGTTGTGTTATTTGTATATTATGTTCACCGCCGCCAGTTGCAATACTGCCGCTACCGCTTGTAGGGCCACCAGCACTGCTGACACCACCACCACCACCTGCTGCTGCACCGGCGCCTA